GATCACAGTCACTGCTTAAGTGACATTTACTTACAACTAACTGAGGAGTACATGGACTTCCAAAGGTGTTTTTTGTGCCACATCACAAAGGTTGTTGTTGCACTAATACATTCTGAAGTAATTGTTGCTTCTTATGTTACTTTTACACTGATGTTACCACAGGTCGTTGTTGCACAACAGTGTGTTTCAGTGATGACCTCAGTTTTCATTGTTCAAGAAAGGTGGTATATGGACATTGATGGGCCTAAAAGGTGTTCTTTGCTCACACCAGAGCATGAACACCTAAAAATAATGAGACCCCTCATCTCAAATATACTCATACACATATATTTATATTGTTTTAGGAAATGTCACGTGATTCTTTTTCTTTTTCCCTGTTATTTATTGGACATAATTTTGAGATTGTGTACTTTTTAGATTTTCTAGTTCTAAAATGAGTAAAGTTAGCTGGCAAATGGCTTGAACGTTTACAGCTCAGAGCCTTAAATCCATATTAATCCTTTTTCCTGTCCCCTAAATTGTTAACATATGTGTCATTTTTTCTGGATCTTAATATTTGTCATGAATCCATGATTTTCTTTTAGGATGAAATTGTAAAAGCAGATGAAAGTTCAGCATTGCCAGTCATTTCTACAGTAGCTGCAGCAAGCCAGCGAGAGGAGAAGCCATGTACGTGTAAAGCCTGCAAGGACAAGCGGTATGTTCATATTGTTAGTTTTTGCAAAAGGAATTCTGCAAGGTATCCAGTTTATCATGAGACAAGGTCCCATACATTGTTATTGCAAGACTTTTACATGTCAGCTTAGGAGAAGCTGTTTATTTGCTGCCCATTCCCTCCCTGCAGTACTACCCACCTTCGTTCAGAGTAGAGTTTTGAAGTGCTAACCAGGTTCTTTGCACACAATCAATTCTTGAAAAAAATGTCTGTAGACACTTTGAAGTTGCCTTGAAATAATGAAATTTCTTGCAGATTATTTTTACACTCACTAATCAGTAGTATATTTCATTCAAACCATGTTATACAACACTTAATGATTGATTGAGAAATGCATTAACACACACAGATAAACAGTGTGATCCATAGTGGAAGTATGTTATCGCTAACTGCTACTGCTACACATGTGGTGGGTTGGGACCCAGCTGGCTGCCTGTTTGGCCACACCACATAGTCTTGCAGAAGGAAATCCACTTTGTATTATTCTATAAGGCTCAAAATCCCGTAATGGCACATGATCACCAACCAGCCAACACTTCCCTATTATGTAGATAGAACTAATGTCCCTAAACAGCATTACCATGGCAGTCATTCAGAGATTATAACAACCAACACATACACACACAAATATTATTCGAAAGACCCGTAAGTGCTTAACAGCAAGTGATCAACTAACCAACCAAGCTGCCAGTATACTGTATGTGGCTCCATATTTAAGATGTTTTCACAAGTTGAGCCTTTCTGTAATACACAGATCCCCAGCACCTAAATTTCTACCAGACTGCATAGCGCAATAGCCATATTTGCCAGAACATATTGTACATTTGTAGACGAGAGTGTAAACTCACGTTTATACCCACATTTATAGGATGCAAAAGTGTACTGAAAATTAGTGTATGTTATAACATGAGCCTCAGTCTACATGTAGGTTTCCAAAGTGGTGTCTTCTCTTTGGATTTTCTGACTAAAAGTTTGTGTTTTTTCATTGGTTTTCCTGTATTTCTATGTATTAATAAGAGGTCTTGGCAGAATTACTTTTCATGTTGAATTATTGTTTCAGAGAGTTAGCAGCAGAACAGTTGGAAGAAATGCGTCGATTACAGACTTATTGGATGGAGCTTCGTCAGTACATCCGTATGGTTTACCGTATGGCCATAGAAGGCAGAACAGTAGAGAACAATGGTGCAGAGGATTATGAGGTCAAGATGAAGGACTTGGTTCAGAAGTGAGTTTAAACTCTGTTAACCCTTTGAAACGTGAGTTACTGAAAGGGATATTCCTTATCCTAGGTTGTGTTTTCATCCATTTACTGGTGTGGGGAGACCATGATTTATCAATCATTTCTTCTGAATATGGAATATTCTTGTCTTGTTTGTGTGTGCATACACACAGGTGTGCTTGTGCATGTGTACTGGGTCTCAAAGGGAAGATTCTGTAAAATGTGTTAATTAACTTATAGCATATTCTGGTCTATAAATGTTATTCTGTTACTTAATCTTGTATTTCATTGCAGGTTGTGTGCTCGTGATCCACATCAGCTTTTTCAGAGGCTTGAGTCACAAGTGCAGGAATTTGTAATTGAGGCCAAAGTCCGTCAGTTAGAACTTCTTCATCGAGAGGAGCAAACTCCTGAATTTGCTCAGATATTCCTCACAGGTAGAATCTGAACATCTGTGGATGTGGAGGAGAGATAAAAGTAACTTATTAGAATAAGAACCTTGATTAAGTCCTAGTTTGGTATGTTGCCTGATCAAAAGTATCCGGACACGTATGCGAAACTGTCCTCTAAGTGTCCCTCGGATTTACTTCCCAGTAGTTTATACTAATACGGGGTGGGCCCACCATTGGCATTTATTACAGCTCTAACTCTGTGTGGGAAGACTGTCTACTAGATGTTGGAACGTCGCCGGGGGAATGGCCGACCATTCTTCCTGCAACGCTGTAGCAAGCGTAGTTAGTGATGTGGATCGTTGGAGTCTGGCGCGCAGCTGCCTTTCTAGATCATCCCAGAGGTGTTCAATAAGATTGATATCGGGGCTCTGGGCTGGCCAGTCCATTTCTGGAACCTTATTGTCCACAAACGACTCATGAACAGACCCTGCTTTGTGGCAGGGAGCATTATCATGCTGAAACACACAGTTGTCATCTCTGAACTGGTCTTCTACCGTAGACAACACGCAGCAGGTCAAAATGTACTTATATCCTTCCCCCTTTAACGTGCTCCATTTGGGAAGACTGTCTACTAGATGTTGGAACGTCGCCGGGGGAATGGCCGACCATTCTTCCTGCAACGCTGTAGCAAGCGTAGTTAGTGATGTGGATCGTTGGAGTCTGGCGCGCAGCTGCCTTTCTAGATCATCCCAGAGGTGTTCAATAAGATTGATATCGGGGCTCTGGGCTGGCCAGTCCATTTCTGGAACCTTATTGTCCACAAACGACTCATGAACAGACCCTGCTTTGTGGCAGGGAGCATTATCATGCTGAAACACACAGTTGTCATCTCTGAACTGGTCTTCTACCGTAGACAACACGCAGCAGGTCAAAATGTACTTATATCCTTCCCCCTTTAACGTGCTCCATTGTATTACGAGAGGACCAAGTCCCTTCCATGAAAAACACGCCCACCGAATTTCATTGTGGCACTATACAGGCCGGCATGTAGCATTCACATGTTGGAGTCTGGCGCGCAGCTGCCTTTCTAGATCATCCCAGAGGTGTTCAATAAGATTGATATCGGGGCTCTGGGCTGGCCAGTCCATTTCTGGAACCTTATTGTCCACAAACGACTCATGAACAGACCCTGCTTTGTGGCAGGGAGCATTATCATGCTGAAACACACAGTTGTCATCTCTGAACTGGTCTTCTACCGTAGACAACACGCAGCAGGTCAAAATGTACTTATATCCTTCCCCCTTTAACGTGCTCCATTGTATTACGAGAGGACCAAGTCCCTTCCATGAAAAACACGCCCACCGAATTTCATTGTGGCACTATACAGGCCGGCATGTAGCATTCACATGGCATTCGCCACACCCAAACCCTCCCATCGGATTGCCACATGGTATAACGTAATTCATCACTCCAAATCACGTGTCTCCAATCGTCCACAGCTCAGTGGCGGCGCTCTTTACACCACTGAAAGCGGCGCTTAGCGTTCACAGATCATGCTGAAACACACAGTTGTCATCTCTGAACTGGTCTTCTACCGTAGACAACACGCAGCAGGTCAAAATGTACTTATATCCTTCCCCCTTTAACGTGCTCCATTGTATTACGAGAGGACCAAGTCCCTTCCATGAAAAACACGCCCACCGAATTTCATTGTGGCACTATACAGGCCGGCATGTAGCATTCACATGGCATTCGCCACACCCAAACCCTCCCATCGGATTGCCACATGGTATAACGTAATTCATCACTCCAAATCACGTGTCTCCAATCGTCCACAGCTCAGTGGCGGCGCTCTTTACACCACTGAAAGCGGCGCTTAGCGTTCACAGGCGAAATGTGTGGTTTATGATCAGGTGCCTGGGCTTTGAACCTCAGTCCTCGTAACTCACGGTGCACAGTCATGGTGCTAGGTGCACAATTAGTGGCACTGCGGAATTCACGGGTGATGGTATCACACGATGATATGCGATTTTCCCGTACCACCTTCTTCAATTCTCGACGGTTTCTTGTCGGTCAACACACGTGGTCTACCCGACCGTGATTTTGTTGTGGTTGTGTCTTCTCATTTCCACTTCACAATCACGTCCCTGATGGTCGACTTGGGCAACTTGAGAAGGGCGGAAATGGCCCTGATGGATTGCTTACTGATGTGGCAACCAATAACCATACCACATTCGAAGTCACTGAGTTCCCTTGCTCTACCCATTCTGTCGGTATCGCATAGCACCGAACAACATCGAGCCCTCTGATTCCTTTTATAGCTGCAGCGGCGGGCGTAGTGATATCTAGACTCGAGTTTACGTTTACAGAGGAGTGTCCGGATACGTTTGATCAGGCAGTGTATATGTTCTGATGCTGTAAAATTGTTTTATTAAAAAACATTGTGGGTTAAGCCCACATTGTGTCATACCATTGTTAGAAACCTTTAAATTTAAATTTTGTTCGTTCGTTTATTTTTACTCGTCTCTTTTCACACGTCACGTATCTTTTAAACCTTTCAATGACAAATTTTAGTATACCAATTTTCTGGGCAGAGCATGTATTGTATTGTTTGGGGGGGAGGGGGATGTGCTCTTTATTCCAGTATGGCCACAAGGACTTGTGATGAAAACTCTGTTATGTTATGTTGTACAGGTCTTCTGGAGGGATATGACAAACTTTGCCTTGCTGCAAAGCAGCTAGCCCCTTTGCTACAGCAGTTGGAGACTGAACACTTGCAACGATTCAACCTTACATGGGAGGTCCTTAACAAACACTTGTATCAGAGTTGTGTCTATACTGACCCTCTTGTACAGAATAATCTGCCCCACTACATAGGACAGGTGAGCAAA